GGCTCTGTGAGGGTGGGGGTGCAAGCTGTGGGTCACCTCCTCCTGGTCTGTGAGGAAAAGGCATTTTGCCAACATGGGGCCCCTTCTCCACTGATGGGTGTAACAGCCCACAGCCCAGGTCATACAAAGCCCCTTGGGCCTGAGAAAGTACCCACATGAGGGTTTCCTTGGCAACACATTCCCCCACATTCCCAGGTTATCAAGCAGCCATTCTCTGTTTAAAAGCCCTTGCAGATTTGATTTAGGGAGTTCTAAAGGAAACCTAGAAGATTCCTTTGTCCCCCAAATGAAAACACGGATGGGAGACACATACACCAAGTGTCACTGTGCTGCCAACGCTGTGTCTCAGCCCTGCTCAGCACAAAGCCAGTAACGTTGCCTAACGGCTTCAGGCTGTCCTCCACGGCCAGCTTCCTCTTCTCTCAGGGTTTACTCTCAGAGAGAACAGGTCCCGTGGGAAGCCTCATGGGACAGGGAATGTCCCATGGGGGAGGGGTGGAGATGACTCAAAAGTGCTTAGAGTTAGCACATCCAGAGAGTCCTGGGGGTCTGTGGGGCCCTGACCCTCTCCCTCAGGTGGAGAACAGTGGAGCCCCTTGGAGCCTCTAGACTGAAGGTTGGCAGATGTTTTCCATAAAGGGCCAGAGAGCAAACATTTCTGTCTTTGTGGGCCATATGGTCTCTGTCCTGACAGTCTGACAGCCTCCACAGACAACACGTGAGAAACCCACATGATACGGTGCAAGCAAAATCTTGTTTATAAAAATGGGCAGAAGTTTGTACTAGGCCTGGGGTAGCAGGTACTGACCCCTGCACTCTAGATAAAGATAATCAGAGGACAAGCCCTACACCTCCCTTAGAAGCACAGATCCCTCCTACCAATTGCTTTACATAGTACCTGCTCACCATCTAGCCGGGCCTGGTACCTGAAGTGGGTGGGAGAGCCAGGAGCTACCAGAAACACACACACACACACACACACACACACACACAACACACACACACACAACACACACACACACAACACACACACACACAACACACACACACTCACACACACACAACACACACACAACACACACAACACACACACACAACACACACACAACACACACACACACTCAACACACACACAACACACACACACAACACACACACACAACACACACACACAACACACACACACAACACACACACACAACACACACACACACACACACCAGAGTGATGATTAAAGCAACCAACACTGTGCAAGCCAATGCCCCTGAGCAGAACAGACACACTGTCTGCCTGGGGACTGAGTGCATAGTTTTTCTGGAGCCTATTCATGGATCTAAAAATCTAAATACCCTAGTTTTTTTTTTTGTGGACCAGGCTAGCCTTGAACTCATAGAGATCCATCTGCTTCTGTGTCCTGAGTGCTGGAAGTAAAAAGGCCTGTGCCACCACTGCCCCACTTCAAAGAGATTTTTACAAAGTATAAAGATGAAAGAAAAAAATCCAAAAGAAAATTAGATAAATGATACAAAGAAGCGAAGCGATTCACTGAAAAGACACAATTACTAATAAAGAGGTGACAGGCACCAGGGAGGATGGAACACTTCTGTAACTTAGCACTTGAGAGGCAGAGGCAGGAGGATCAGGAGTGAAGGTCAGCCTGGGCTACGAAGCAAGTTCAAAAGCAGCCAGGGTTATATGAGACTCTGTCTTAGAAATAACAAATAACAAAGAGGTAAGATGTCTTATCTCACTTGTGATTAGAGAAAAAATGTTAAATTCTGGCATATTATTTTTCACTGTGTCAAATTGTCCAGTGTTTAAAAGATAAAAGAGGGACCTCTTTAACCTGAGCACATAGGAAGCAGAAACAGGATCTGTGTGTATGAGCTAGCCTGGTCTACACAGCAAGTTTCAGGCCAGCCAGGGGTACATAGTGAGACCTTAAAGAAACAAATGAAAATAAACAACTAAAAGATGAAAGAGTACCAGCAAGATGGCTTGGTGTGTAAAGGCATTTGAGATCAAGGAAGTTCCTTCCCCAGAACCCACATGGTCAAGGCGAGAACCCACTCAGAAAGCCATCCTCAGACCTCCGCATGAGCTTCGTGTGCACACGCCTACAAACACACACAACAAACTAATCAAATCAAATGAATGTAAAAAATATTAAAGATGAGTGATGGAGCCAGGCGGTGGTAGGACACACTTTTAATCCCAGCACTCAGGAGGCAGAGGCAGGTGGACCTGAGCTGGAGGTAAACCTGGTCTACAGAGTGAGTTCCAGGACAGCCAGGGCTATACCGAGAAACCCTGTCTTAACAAACCAAAAAAGATGAATGATACAATCTTCTAGGGGGATATGAAAAAGGCACATTACTGGGACTGTAACTGTGGACGGCAGACTCCATATTAGAAGACCTCTTGAAAGCAAATATTAAAATTTAAAACATGATAATCCTGAAGCCTAGAAATTATACTTCCTGGAACTTATTTTACAGAAATATACACATAGGATGTTCATTTCAACAGTGTGAACACCCCTGAGTGCAAAACTAGCTGAGTGAATTATAGTTCATTTCTACTACAGGGTAGCATAGAACTGAGCAATAGTAAGGACACTCACTGGAGAAGAAAGTAAGAATGCAGAGCTCTAGGTACTGGCAGGGAAATGGAAGACAAATCATGTAGATAAATCAAACTGATACAGACAAAGCCAAAACAATAACACAGATAAAACAACACTGAACAGTATATTCTAAAATTGATAAAGGTAAGACATTTAGACTTTTTTTTTTTTTTTTTGGTTTTTCGAGACAGGGTTTCTCTGTATTGTTTTGGAGGCTGTCCTGGAACTCGCTCTGTAGACCAGGCTAGCCTCAAACTCACAGAGATCCGCCTGCCTCTGCCTCCCGAGTGCTGGGATTAAAGGCGTGCGCCACCACCGCCCAGCCAGGATTTCTTTCTTATTTTAATTTTCTTTCTTTTTTCTTTTCTTTGAGACAGGGTCTCTCTATTGTCCTGACTGTTCTAGAGCTCAATGTGTAGGTCAAGCTAGCCTCAACTTACAAAAACTCTCCAACCTCCGTCTGAGTGATGGGCTTAAAGGTGTAGACCACCACGGCAAGCTCCTACAAGATTTTTTTAGAAGGAACTCCCCATATGGTGCTTCTCACCTATTTGTCTCTTAGGGTTACTGTTTGAGCCAGGGTCTGGTGGAGCCCAGGGTAGCCTTGAACTACCCATGTAACAGAATGGAAGCTGTTACTGTTTGAGACAGGATGGCTCTGAACTTCCTATGTAACTGAGGATCCCTGAACTTCTGATCTTCTGCTTCTCCTAAGTGTAGGGAGTGAAAGAACAAGTTATCATGTCTAGCTATCCTTTTTTATTATTTCAGGGGTACAGGAGCAAGGCCTTATTCTGAAGCCTAAGATGGCCTCACAGTCACAGTGACTGTCTCGCCACTGCCTCCCGAGTGCACCTAGCACTTCTTCTATAAAGCCATTGCTGGGGTTGGTACCTGGAGTCACGAGCAAGCTGGACCCCAGCCCACAGCATCCCGTGCTTCATGATAACTAAGCATTGTTCTGCCCTTTGATGCTTAAGCGCCTCAAGTTCCAGGACCATCTCAAACTCCCATCCCTGAAACTCAGATCTGCCCTAACAGACGCCCAACATGACAAATAACAAGGGTGATGCCAGGTTTTTATTTTTCATCTTGATAAAAAATTGTTGGTGGTTTTCATGCTGTCCAAGAACAAACAGAACCATGCATGACTCCTGTTTCACATTTACACAACCTAGTGGAATTTGTGTACTTTTCACAGTGTGAACATATTTCTCACTGTTTCAACATTTGTTTTCCTCTGGGATTATGAGAGGGGAGAACACATCTATTTTGCTTTTAAATGCATCTGATTTAAAAAAAAAACACAAATAAGAACGTCCCAACAGATACAAAGTAAACTTCATAGGCACCAATGAGCTGAAGCAACTGAGGCCCCAAGTTTCTGTGCATCATTCACCCTCAAACGCCCATACCCAAGGCTCAACACACCTGCTGTCTACACTGGGTCATTTTTACTGAAAGACTGTCCCTGTCTATGGACATAGGTCTAGATGGCTAATCCTCCCTGCCGGGGGAAAGCATAGGAAGAGGGAGTGGAGAAGATGTGGGCCTGCAGGCAGGTCCCAAATATGCCAGCACCTCTTCATGCTCTTTTATCAAAGGACCAGGAAGGTCCCAGAGCTCTCAGCGGAAGAACCACACGGCAAACAGTAATGGTGGTAGTGTATCTCCAGACTTTCTTCAGAGGTAAACTGAGTTGGGAAATGTCCCTGTTAATAGAAGCCTCTGAATGGTACCCTTGCCTGGTCCAGCAAGTCTGCAGTCTTCCCTCTGGGAAAGATGTTTCTATTCCTTCTCTAAATTCCTTCAGCGCCCCTCCAGCCCTACTCCCAGCTTAAAAAGAAGCCCATTTTAAGGCATCCTGGTGGTCCTGCCAAGGGCATGCTTCACATTCCAAGAAACAGTAGCACCTATCTGGCCAGACATCTGTGCCCTAGCCAAGAAGAGTGTCACAATGTTGCCATTGGGCTCCAAGCACCTGCAAAAGGTTGGGGCTGGGTGGATCCAGGACAGGCTTGTCTACAAATGGTATTGTTAGCCAGAGTTCCTGGAGAGCCTGGGGACAGCAGTCATGGAAGATAAAGGACAACATGGGCAATAGCCTTTGTTTTCCCTGCTTGTCTTCTTTGACAGAGACCTGCTCCTCCATGCCAAAGGCAAGACCAGAGGCAGCTACAGGTCACCCTGGGAGTCACACCTGCCTACTTTAGAACCTGTGAGACTGGCTATGCTGTCAGGCCACAGACCCACAGCCCCTCCACGGCTTCAGACATCCAAGCATATAGGGCAATGGAATCTAGAAACCAACAAATATGCCTCAAACGCACCACTTACTCGACTGAAAAATGTTCCTTAACAAACCAATACTTACTGTTAATGACGTGAACGTCATACACATCCCCCCAAAGCCATTCAGAGCCAAGGCGATGAAGATGAGCACAGAGAGCGCTGTGGACAGACAGAGAGCTGTAAGTAAGGGAACACAGGAGCACAGTGTTCCATACTGAGAAGGCTACAGATGAGCTAAAAATAAAGGGCAGGCATCAAAGGTTATGATGTTTGGAGAGCACTCTTTCCCTCGCCCTTGTCCTCCTGCTACCTACTGGAGCTCTAGCTCTAGCAAAAGACGTACGCCCACTCTCTTCCGTTAACCTAGCAGCAATCAAAAGGCCCCAAAAAGGGTTGGAGAGATGGCTCAGCGGTTAAGAGCACTGACTGTTCTTCCAAAGGTCCTGAGTTCAATTCCCAGCAACCACATAGTGGCTCACAACCACCTTGAATGAGCTCTGATGCCCTCTGCTGGCATGCAGGCAGAAGATTGTATACATAATAAATAAATAAAATATTTTAAAAAAAAAAAGGCCCCAAAAAGCTGCTCACAAACAACAACATCCCAAGTTACTGAAAATCAGTAGATGAGCTTGGCTAAGAGGTTAGTGAAATTCAGGCCCTAGTTTGATGTTTTTCTAAAAGCCCTCAAACTTCTTAACTGGGGATGGGATCCAGGTGTCTCCTAAGCTGTTTTTCAAGGGCTGGCCTAGGCTGCCTGGAGGGCGTGGCTCAGCTGGGTGTGGTGTATCATGCCTGTAATCCCAGCCTTCAGGCTGAGCCAGGAGGACGACAAGTTTGAGACAAGCTTGGGCTACCTCAGTCTCAAGTGTCCAAGTGCTGGGGGGGGGGGGGGGTAGTGGGGGATGGAGGGATGACAGTTGCTCGATGGCAGAGTACTTGCCTGGTATTTGTAAGCCCTGGGTTCAATTCCCAGTACTGAAACAAAAGAGGAGGAAGAGGAGATGGCTGAGCCTACCACTTCTGCACCATGGAAGGCCATGCCCTGGGGCTGGCCTGGTCCATAAAGTTTGTCTTTCAAGTGGCATCAGTAAGGCTACTACCAGGGACCGGGGTTGGTGGCTTGGAGCTGAGACAGGAGCCTCACACACCCTAAGGACACCTCTCATACTTCTGCTTGGGGTGATTATTCTCTCACTAGCCAAGCATTTGAAAGAGCTAAATCCTAGGCCAGAGAGCTGCCCAGTCACCCAGGAGAAAGGAGCAGAGGGCTAAGAGGTATCCCTTCTGGCTTGAACAGGGAACCCCAAGCCTAAGAGAGCATCCAAGAGCAGGTGAGCCAGCGAGCACCTGCGGATGGTAGAGCTTCCCCCAGTTTCCGGCAGAGAGAACAGGTATACTCACAGTCTGGGCTACTTGCTCCATATGCAATCAGCAAGCAGGAGACGGCAAAGCAGGCACTGAAACCAAACACAAAGTGTACTGTTGATACTATGCTATCAACTGCTGCTACTGTATAGTGTAACAGCATGTGGGGGTATTTACTATGTTTATAACCATTATTTAACAATTCGGGGGAGACCAGGGTCATATGCCTCATGAGGCATGCAAGATGACCCAGAGGATGATGGGCTCTTAGGATTTGTATTCAGTGCTGAGAACTGAACCCTGGGTCTTCTGTGCTACACAAGTGCTCTACCACTGAGTTGCAGCCTCAGCCTCATTTCATAATTGTTAACATTTCATTCATTTTGCCAGGTGGTGGTGCAACCCTTTAATTCTTGCTCTTGGAAGGCAGATGCAGGTGGATCTGAGTTTGAGACCGGCCTGGACAGCCAAGGATATAGTGAAACCCTGTCTCAAAACAAGACAAAAACAAACAAAAAAACAAAAACTTCATCCACTTTATTTATTTATTTATGTTTTTCCCAGACAGGGTTTCTCTGTATTGTTTTGGAAGCTGTCCTGGAATTCACTCTGTAGACCAGGCTGGACTGGAACTCAGAGATCCACCTGCCTCTGCCTCCCAAGTGCTGGGATTAAAGGCGTGCGCCACCAATGTCCGGCTTTCATTCACTTTAATTAACCATCTTTATTCTCACATTTTTATTTTCACCAGCACCGTGCACATACTAGACAAGCAATCTACCACCGAGCCTCATCCATAATCCTTGCATTTAAAGCACATAACATTAAGAGGCACATGTGAGCTAAACTCAGTTGTAATACACTTGTCCAGCACACATTAGGTAGAGTTTAATGTGCAGCACCTCTCACTCCCCCACACACACACAAAAGGAGGAAGAATGATACATGTATACACAATCTACATTTGCATATATTTATACATGTTCAACAACTTTTTTCTTCCTGGAGGAAGTATAAAGCCGAAAATCTTTGGACACCAATGTCCTTTTCTGCTTATTTTACTTTGGTGTGTATAGGCACACACAGGTACTGCTGTGTGCATGCATGACATGAGTATATCAGTCAGAGGGCAACCTGCCAGAGTCAATTCTCTAGCTTCTACCATGTAGGTTCCAAGGACAGAATTTAGGTCATCAGGGTTGACGGCAAGTGTCTTTACCTGAAGAGCCATCTTGATGGCCCCAAAAACTAATGTTACAGACAAGCAAGTTCAGGTCATCCCAGATGGGCCTGACTCCTGTGGCTTGCAGGGAGAATCACGGTATCTACTGATTCCGTGCCAGATAGTGTAATAACCCTGCCCCAGGCAGGCATTTCGGGAGCCCCATAGTGCACCTGCTAGCACATTCCAAGATTCCCTGCAGCAGGGAGTGCAGCTCAGAACATCACCTACCCTCACCCTGCCCCCAAGGGACCCACACTGACCTGCCCAGCAGCCTGAGCTTCCTTGGGCCATACTTGTCCATGATGATGCCCAGAGGCAGGGTGATGGCACTGAGCAGGAAGGAACCCACAGTGAATGCCAAATTTAGAATCTCATCTTGGGCCTTGCAACTGAGCCAGCCATTCACCAGGCTCACCTCCTCATGCTCGGGCTCTGCGGTGCCCCCAACTGTGTTGTTGGTGACATTCTCTGTGTGTATAAAGAAACAGACCATGTTTGCAAAGACCCAAGAGACAGATGTTCCTTCAGAATTATACTACTGAGAAAGTCAAAGTTTGCTCTGAGAGCCTTAAGTCTCCGGCAACTGACAAGGCATGGAGTCTTCGTCCAGACCCCTGTAGCAATAACACACATGTTTTCAACATTTGTAGAAATCACAGACCAAAGAATCCAAAAAAGAAAACTGTTCCTCAGAAAAAGCACAAGTGTTGTCCACAACTTCAAAGCCTTCATCTGTCCCTCGACACCCACCCTTAGTCCCAGATTGAGATTTCCACTCTAGAATGATAGTGAATGCCTGTTATCTAAGCAAGAAGACCAAGGGCTCAAAGTCATCCACAGATAATGAGTTTGAGGGCAGCCGAGGCTACATGACATCCTGTGTCTCAAAGAAAAAAAAAGCCATTTCCAGTCTACAGCATCCTATACTCTAAACCCAGTAACTGTAGCTCAGGGTCCAGTCTTGGCTGTGGAGCCCCAAGTCCTCAGTAGCTCTGCCCACAGAAACACATCAGCCAGTGTGGATGGGGCCTTGGGAAAGGCAAGCTGCGGGTTTCACCAGTACACCTGGGTTTTCCTCAGCCAATCTGAGCAAAGTAGATGAGCCTCTTCACTGCTACTTCTAAAGCAGAGCTCAAGTCACATGACATCTTCCACCCTAGACTTTCCACACCTCCAACCACCACATAACTCAGAACCAATAGGGTTGGACTTCTTGCTTGTTTCTGAGGTCCTGGGGACTGAACCCAGATCCACATGTATATAAGTAGTAGGAAGCTACCTACCTACTACTTAGCTACACCCCCAGCTTGGTTTTTGTTTGGGGGACAGCACAATTATTTTCTTTCACGTATGAAGATGGTCCATTCTTACTTCTCTTACTGAAGTCGGTGTTGATGGTCATCCCATCCCATGACCACATCCAGAGTCAGTTTTTGGTTTTTTGGTTTTTGGTTTTTTTTTTTTTTTTTGGTTTTTTGAGACAGGGTTTCTCTGTATTGTCTTGGAAGCTGTCCTGGAACTCGCTCTGTAGACCAGGCTGGCCTCGAACTCACAGAGATCCACCCGCCTCTGCCTCCCGAGTGCTGGGATTAAAGGCGTGCGCCACTAACACCCGGTTCACATCCAGAGTCAGTGTCAGCCACATCTGCACACGAGAGTGCCCCCCCCAAAGTTCAACCAGAGTCAAAACAGCACAAAAAAGGGAAGGGAGAAGTACTGTACTAGCAGGAGAGTGGGGACCCGCTGGTGGAAATGGCACTGAGGGTCTCTCCTTGCTGGGATCCACTCTTTGAGTGATGCTGACTAACCCTGTAGAAACTGGCCGACTGGTTAGCTTTGAGCCAAAGAAACTTCCTCAGATTAACCGTTCTCCTCCCAGCTGCAGCTGGGGCTGCTCAGCTGAGGGCTACAGAGCCTGCCCTGGCCTCTCAGAGCCACCCAAGATAACTGAAAAGAAACCACTTGGGGTGACTAATGGCATCTGCCAACCTCTGACCAATAAGCCCTGCTGGGGACATGCAGAGATTATGATGGCGGAATCTGCCTCTGGACTCTAACTTCTCTTCCCCTGCTTCCTGCTGTATATCCTTACAAGTGTGACTCGATCTTGCTCTGCTGGTTTCCTTATCTGGGAACGAGACATAATGTAACAGACCGTGTATACCTCTAGAGCTGTGGGGACAAATCATGAGAAAAACCGGATAGCATTATAGAGCTTCCAAGGGGCATACAAAGTGGTAAATAACTGTTATTGCTAGTGTGAGTTGTACCGGGGCTCAGGATGGGGGTGATTTAACACGATGGCAGGGAACACATTGCTGTATCAACATGGGATAGCATGAGTGTGTGCTTAGTTGCCCACTGGGCTGAGTCTGAGGCTAGAAACTGTCTTCTGACTATCGTGTCAAATTATCTCAGTGGGCCCTGGCCACAGTAGCTGTAGAAACAGTAAACCAGATCCCAGTAGCCAAAGGGATTAAGGTGGGAAAAGAAAAAGGACATGCAGATCCAAGCTGAAGACACAGGGACTCAGGGAGATCAGAGCCACAGGTTAACAGCCTGGACTCACACAAACAAAACCTTTCAGGCCAAACTCCCAACCCAGCCACTTTCAATCCCCTTTCCAGGACATCTTCCACACTGACAGCCAAAACACATGGCAGACAGGGTTCTCTAAGCCCATTGGTCCCGTGTGTTGCTGTGGTTGACAGGTGTGAGCAGCTCCTGGAAGGGAAGAGATGGTTTCGGGTGTCAGCCCTGCCAGCAAACAGGAACTGGACCTGCAGTATGGGGACCAGGCCTCCACCCGGCAATGATGACCATTTCTGGGTAGTCGTGCAGGTTTGACAGCCAGCACGGATGAGATAGAGTGGGCAGGTGGAGGGAGGGCACTCCAGCCTGAGACCAGACTGTGGCCACGCGGGGTGTGGAGCCAGTGACTTGCACTCAAGAACTTTAAGTGCCATGGGCTCTTTGGCGACAAGGAACAGGAGAGGAAGGAAGTTGTGGGGGTGGGGGGGATAAGGCTGGCACAGTAGCTCAAACCACTGAAATGACAGCTTCAGAGATCCAGTGCTCTCTTCTGACCTCCAATGGCATACATGTGGTGTATATAAATACATTCAGGCAAAACATTTATACACATAAAGTAATTTTTTTTTAAATCCTAAATTGGGCCAGTGAGACGGCTCAGCAGATAAAGACGCTTGCCTCCAAGCCTGACAACTTGAGTTCAATCCCCAGGCCTCACATGGTTGAAGCAAAGAACCAACACCCGCAAGTTGTTCTGACTTCCACATGCACACGGCAGCTCACGCACAAACCTAAACTTAATTTAGAAAATGTAAATCCAAAGATATCTCCAGTCTCCTGATATGGTATAAGCAAGCACATGAGGACAGACATCTGAAGTTATTTGATGATCTGTTCAGTCTACATCTAGACACGAGGCCTCTGAGGAGAGGGTATGGGGCAGAAGAATGGGTGTCTACCCTTCCTTCCTTCATGCTGGAGCCACTATATCCAGAAGCAGGGATCAGTACTGCAAACCACCCATATCTGTCCTTAAATCCCTGCCAATGGGGCCACTAGGCCTCTGCTTACCTCCCTCCAGAAAGTGATGTCTAGCTATCTGGAGGTTGGGGGATCAAATAAAATAGCCTCTGTCCTCTGTCCGGGGAAGAACTTGAATGTCCCTTACATAGGGAGGGAACTGAACCTTCAGGGAGTCTAGAGTTCTGTTAGCAATAAACAGCCCACACACATTATCTTGGTCCCAACAGATGCCCAGTCATACCCAGGTTGGTCCAGTTTTGTCTTCTCCCACCTGGCCACAGAAAGCCAGGAAAGGGACCAACAGACATATACCTAAGACGTGTCAAGCCCCAAGGTGTTCCCTGTTCCCAGAGTGCAGCCATCAACAACCCAGCTCAGGCCAGCCTGTTTGGGTCCTGCCTCTACTTTAAACAGGTGCCTCTACCATGGGGGGTGGTCAGAACAGCCGGGATTAGCTCAGCCAGGGAGGACTAACAAGACAGACAAGAAACTGGCGTGCCAGAGTGTACTGAGAGCAGGACTCGGGCTGCCAGGGCCAGGAGAGAGAACAATGCCCCGTACTGTTGGTCCCACTGAGAAGACTCACAAACAAAATCTTAACAGAGGAGGCAAGAGAGTTCTGTGACCCCACTCAGGGCTCCCTTTGGCTTCTCTGGGGTCAGAGAGTCCTCCCCTCACCCCAGGCAGACAGAGAGTGAGGAACTCCATCTCCCGGATGGTGCTGAGGGAACAAAGAGGCTTATGGCTGGAGGCACCCTCTTGCGTTCCTTAGCTGTTCTTTCTCAGGCTGGTGACTGAGCCCCTCCCCTCCATGGGGCTGACTTCTGGCCAGCCCTCCTGAGGGTACCTGCCCCAGCATCTCCTGCCACTCTCATCCTTAGTCTATCCGGCAACAGGAAGCAGCATCTCAGCCCAGCAGGGCAGATGTGGGTGAGAGGTCGTATAAACCACAAAGCAGGCAGGACACAGTCAGAGCACCACTGGGCCCTCTCCTGGAGGTTGCTGCGATGCCGCAGCAGCCTCGGAAGCAGCAGCCACCCCCTCCTGCGGACAGCCTGAGTGCCGGCCACTGTGTTCATTCTTTGGGCCACTCAGTGCCCTCTCATGCTGACCCCACATTCCACTGCGGAATTGCAGAGCAGGTGTGTCTAGAGGAAGGTCTTGCAGAGCTAGGCTCAAATGGAGTCTGTCAGAGCCTGAGACTATGATTATGCTGTCCTTGTGGGTTAGAGGCCGTCTGGAGGGCTGAGAGAACAAAGCTGGGAAAAAGCTTGGCCACACCAGCGGCTCTTCCTATCACCCAGTGAGAATGGGTGTTCCACTGCTCTCTACAAAGCCACAGAAAGCCAACCCACACCCTACAGGACCTTCAGGAGACACGAAGACAAAATAGGAGAACAGATGTCAGGGAGGGAAATCAGGTCATGAGAAGGGTTAAGGGTGATGATGACAGACGAGGGTACTCTTTTTGTGACACATTTTTTGAGGCTGCAGGTACCAGCTTTTAGCCCTTTTACTGTTTCTTTTGGAATTTTTCTGAAATAAACTATGGGTAAGATATAGGTGTGGCTAAGTGGTATAGCAATTACCTGGCATGTGTGAAGACTTGGTTTTGATCCCTAGCACTGGAAAAAAAAATTGGTCTAAAAGAAGTGAAAACAAGCCCAGTATGGTGGCACACACCTGTAACCCCAGCACTCGGGAGGCTGAGGCAGGTGGATCTCTGTGAGTTCGAGGCCAGCCTGGTCTACAAAGTGAGTTCCAGGATAGCCTCCAAAGCTACAGAGAAACCCTGTCTCGAAAAACCAAAAAAAAAAAAAAAAAAAAAAAAAAGTCAGAAGTTCAATTTCCAAACGGTATCCATCACTGGCTTGTAGGTACGGATAACAGCCCCTGGGAGGGAAGGCCTAGAAGTAGCCCAGAAGTCTTCCTGTGCACATCTCAAGTCTGGCTGTGAACTTCCCCAGGGGACAGCAGCCCCTCTGCCCTCTACAGGCACTGTCCTGTTTTTTTGGTTTTTTTGGTTTTTGAGACAGGGTTTCTCTGTATTGTTTTGGAGGCTGTCCTGGAACTCGCTCTTAGACCAGGCTGGCCTCAAACTCAGAGATCCGCCTGCCTCTGCCTCCCAGAGTGCTGGGATTAAAGGCGTGTGCCACCAACGCCCAGCCTGTCCTGTTTCTTGTCAGGTGAGAGGATCTACCAGGTACACACAACCAAGGCTGGGGAGTAGAGCACTTGCTGTACAAACGTGAACATTAGCATCTGGTCCGCATTACCCACTGAAAAGTTGTGAGCTCTGGGCTCAGCGAGAGTCCCTGCCTCAATAAATAAGAGGACAGGAACGGAAGAATCCTGGCATCGACTTGCATATGTCCATGAACACACATGTCAGGGTTCATCTTCATGTTCGGAGCTGGGCTGAACTCCTCCAGCAGGAGCCATGGAGATTTCCATCTTCATAGTGCTCATTCCACCCACACCCAGCATGAGGCAAGCTCTCAACTGTTCAAGAGCCTCCGAGAGGGTCACTGAATTCTGGCAGCCCTCTGCCTACCTGGCTTCCTTCCGGCCTTGAGAATAAGATTCAGTTTCCTTGCTTCTCAGCCCTTCCCCTTGCCCGCCCAGTCATCTCCCTACTGTACCAGCCCCTTGCCTTCCCCTCTGAGGTGAGGATCCGGCCTACTCTGCCCCCCCCCACACACACCAGCTCACCCTTCCTCACCCTCTAGGCTTCTGTCTTAAGTTTTGGGAGGCCTCCCGCCGGGGCAAACCAGATCCCCACTGGTGGTCTCATGCCCACCACTCTCCCTCCACTTTACGGAGTCTGTGTGTAAAGACCTATTTATATGCAAAGGACCCCTAGTCCCTTTAATCAAACCAGGTGTGATGGCACATGCTTTTAATCCCAGTGCTCGGAAGGCAGAGGTATATCTGTGAGTTCAAAGCCAACCTGGTCTACATAGTGATTTCCAGAACATTCAGGGTTACATAATGGAGTCGCTACCTCAAAACAAACAAACAAAAAATAGTGTTTACTGAATGTGTGAGATAAATAATAAGAAACAATATTCACGACGGGCGTTGGTGGTGCATGCCTTTAATCCCAGCACTCGGGAGGCAGAGGCAGGCAGATCTCTGTGAGTTCGAGGCCAGCCTGGTCTACAGAGCGAGTTCCAGACAGCCTCCAAAACAAAACAGAGAAACCCTGTCTCGAAAACAAAACAAGAGAAACCAAGAAAAAAGGAAAGAATATTCACAGATACCCCTAGCCCAAGCTGCCCCTGTTAAAACCCACCAAAGGGCCTGGTATGTGGGCACGCACCTTTGACCCTGGCACTCAGTAGGCAGAGGCAGGCAGATCAGCCAGCCCAGTGGACACAGCAAATTCCAGGCCAGCCAGAGTTATATGATGAAATCCTGTCTCACAATCAAAACAACAACCCAAAAATCCACCAAAGAACAACAGAGAGCTGGGCAGTAATGGCTGGCACACACCTTTAGTCCCAGCACTTGGGATGCAGAGGCAGACAGATCTCTGCGAGTTTGAGACCAGGCTGGTCTACAGAGTGAGTTCCAGGACAGTCTCCAAAGCCACAGAGAAATCCTGTCTTCAAAATCCAAAATCAAAGCAAACAAAAAGAACAGAGAGAAGGAAGAAGTCATGTCAGGTGGGTGGTTGTGGTGGTCACACAGAGGCCAAAGGACTGTGCTCGGAAGAGCCCCACCCTCCTATGCTAACCCTACCTCTCCACAGCAGGGGCACAAGAGGTCTCTGGTTGCCATTACCAGGTGAGTCAGACACAAAACTCATCAAATGCCCAGACCCAGCTCCCAAGCACTGGCCCCGGCCCATGTGACAGGCAAAGCAAAGCAAGCTGCAGAGAAACAGAGACTCAAGGAACTCATTTCCTTTTCCCACACCACTAAACTGGAACCCAACACCATGGCTGTAGCCAGATTCTGTCTAGAGTCCCAACACAGTTCTGAAAGCTTTTCAACAGGTTCAGGCAAATTTCCTTTGGTGAACAAACTCAAGCCATCAATCTTAAAAGCAACAAAAAGTTGAGACATTCATGTCAGCTATACCACCACAGGTCAGCTATCTAAAAGTCTGCAGCAATCAACTCAGCCATCCACCTAGGATGACAATGTTGGGACACAGAGCAAACCTTGACCCTAACCTTGCCAGGCACTCCCAGTCAAGGAAGCACAGGAGTTTCTGGCCCCAAAAGTCAACAGGTTAGCCGGCCTCCGAGAAGCAAGGATGCCAGAGAGATAAGCTGTGTGGAATCAGCAGGCTTTCCCAGCAAGGATGCTAGGTCAGCGGGTTTGCCAGATAATCAGAAAAGCCAAAATCAGACAGGGGAGCAAAGGCACGGGATAAGAAGTTGATGTTCAACCCACAGTCCTGACCCTTCCCCTTCCCTTTGGTTTGTAGAAGTGACCTGTCAAGTGTCTCAGGCACTTAAATACCAGCTCAGCACTATGCTGGCACGATCTCTAGAAGGAAGAAGGTTTCGTCAGGAAAGCAGTTTCCAGTCTCATAGTGCCATACCATCCAAGAAATTGTGTAAGCGGACAATCTTTACCAGCACCAGGAGTCAAAGAAAAGAAAGGAAGAAAGAAAGAGAAACGAAACGAAACTGACAACAGTCCTCTGGTCTGGATGAGATACTAAAAGTTTTGTCGGGGATGATGACTTTTCTCCCTCTTTTTTAAACCCCCAATGGATCCCAAAACAAAGCACGAGAAGAGCCAAGCACCCCCATCTGTTTGTATCAGGGGACCATTAATTCCCTGACATCTCTTAAGCAGAACAGAAAGCTTGGTCAGGGAACAAGGTCTGACTCTCATCTCTCAAGATTTCTTGCTGATGTGGGAAAAGACCTGCCAAGAACCCTTCGGCTATTAGGAAATATTTGAGTGCTAAAGGCTAAAGGTTGGTTATAAACGATAGACTTTCTGCCCTCTCCCAGGTGGCCTTTGTATGCCCTCCCTTTCTCCCGCCCTTACCTCTCCTGCTAAGCTCTGTACACTAAGGATCCTCTGGGCTGATCAGAGAAGGTTGACTCAGAGTTACAGGCAGTGGGAGCAGATCCAAAGCTTTCTCTTCCTGCTAAAAACGAGAGGCTGGGAGAGGCAGTGTAGGCTTGTAACCTCAGCACTCAGGAGAATGAGAGGAGGGGATTACAGATTAAAGGCTAGCCTGGACTACACAGCAAGATCCCGTCTCAACACACACACACACACTCACACACTCTACCTTTAGAGTCAGGTGATGGTTCACAGAGAAACTGTCTTTAAAAAACAAAAAGACGGCTGGGGGTTGGTGGTGCACGCCTTTAATCCCAGCACTAGAGGCAGGTGGATCTCTGTGAGTTCGAGGCCAGCCTGGTCTACAAAGGGAGTTCCAGGACAGCCTCCAAAATACAGAGAAACCCTGTCTCAGAAAAAAAGAGTGCTGGGCATTGATGGTGCACACCTTTAATCCCAGCACTCGGGAGGCAGAGGCAGGTGGATCTCTGTGAGTTCAAGACCAGCCTGGTCTACAAGATGGAGTTCTAGGACAGGCTCCAAAACAAGCCTCCAAAGCCACAGAGAAACCCCTGTCTCAAAACACAAAACAAGCAATCAAACAAAAAACCAAAAGACAAAAACCAAACACCTCTAAATGTGCCCCTTGCCACCGAGACTGTCAACGTCAACCTCATGAGCTCACATGGAAGAAGAAAAGCACTGACCAGCAGTCATCCTCTGACTTTCCACATAGTGCTCTACCCCCACCCCAACGAACAATTACAAGAAAATAATTTGAAGTTAAAAACCTAGAAGGACTCCAGAGACAAAAAGGCATGCTAGCAGTGACCTAAAGAGTCAAATCTGGGCCACCTCCATCAGAGAGGACTGAAGTACGGGGTGGGGCACGGCAAAGGCAAGAGGCTTTCCCACCAAGGGTGCCGAAGGAGGGCAGAGGTTGGTGGCTGACTGCCCTGTTGATGAACTGACCCTACCGAGCCGCAGCCATCAGGGTGGGAAGACAGTGGGAGAAGGAAGGGTTGGGGACTTTGAGAGCCACCCTCAGCCTGCCTTCAGAAGGTTAATGGAGCTAGCTAACCTAGCGTCCTTTTTCTCACTGTCCCCCTTCCTCTTCCTTCCTAGGTTTTGGAAGCCACTGAGATGTTCCTGCAGTTCAGAAGAGGAAATGGTCTTTGGAGAATCATAAAGCAGCAAAAATAGACAAGAAATTATATCTTGGCAAGCCCTTAGGAGACTCTGTAATGGCCTGACTTGAAAACATGTACATCTAGATGAACCTTCCTTCGGGTGGAGGCGAAGTCACTTCCTCTCTGTTGCTGCAGCCTGGCCTATGAATCGAGTTCCTCTTTCTTAAACATATTTACTGCAAGGCAAGCGATGCTGCAGGTCCTAGAAGGCCGGGAAGTCAGCAATGTTCCTGACTGCACACAGAGGTCCTGAGTCTATTTAGTCTGCAGCTTGGGCAAATTTAAGACTGGTCCCAGCCTCAGTTTCTCCACCCACAAACAGGGATGATGGTAATAATATGCACCTAGAGAGTTGGATGAGGATCAAATGGGCCTTTTGGCACTAGGAGGCTCTGTGCAGCAAACGGGGCATTGCTTAGATCTTCACCACCACCCACCCTCTCCCAGAGCCCCACTCTGGGAACCTGCCCCTAACCGAGACTCCTTCTCACCTGGCTTCGTACACAGATAGGAGTAAAAGCCCTCCGACTTGAGCATGATGAGCAGCGAGCCCCAGCCCAGGAGGACTGCTGAGAAGAGGAGGTTTTCCAACACAGCCGTGCAGGCCATCCACCAGCGGCGCCGATGGGCAGTGGCCAGGGTGGGCGCCATGGTGCGATGTGGCAGCGACGGCCCGGCTCCGGCTCTGCAGACACCTGCGCACAGACCTCAGCTTCAGCTGTGGCTCTACCCAGCCCGTGTGACCGTTGGCGCACAGCGACCAGACTGTCAGCCCCCAGCAGCCCAGGCTGTAGGTGCACGCTGGAAAAGAAGTGAACCCCAGCCCTGTTCCGAACCTGGGCCACCCCGAACCCGTGACTGGCTGGTACCGCTACCTTCGACCACGGTGGGGTCCTGCGGACCAAGTGGAGAAGCTTCTCCCTCAGTTCACTCGGAGGTAAACTGAGGCATGACAGCTGGAAAGGGACTAACGCATGCTAAAGAACGTGGAGCTGGTCCTGGCCCCAAGCAAAATTGAATAGCTAGTATGGGGACCAGTTTGCCGTAAGGCCACCTGAGCAGAGGCACACCTGGGAGCTGCCACTCCCAAGGACCCTGACAGGCTCCCGCCCGCCCGCACTCAAGACCCTTCCCTAGAGCATGTTCTTTCAACCACAAGATCAGCGAAGGGAGCTCCGGAACGGCCCGCCCACGGTGCATTCATTGGCGGGACCGCACAGGAACTGCTGCGCCATTGGTCAGTGTCCAGGTCGCTAGGCGCTACCGCCACGCGAACCCCGCATGGGAGAGGCGAAGCCGGTTCAAACCGGCGGCGCGAGCCAACCGCGCGACCCCCGTGCCATGCTGCTATCCCGGCAACTAGCCCGTTTCCACTGAAGTAGACCCCGTCCCTCCATCCTCCTACTCTCCCTTTTCGTCATGTCTCCCGCCCAGTGTCTTCCCTCCAACAAGCATGCACCTTCCCTCTAACCCCGGCCTGTGAGCAGCTTCACGTTCCCGCACCCTCATCTGCAGCCCGGGGCGGGAGTCGAGCTTACCCGGCTCCTACCGGTGTGTATCGGGCCCGCCCGGCACCTTTTCTGTCCCCTTTATTTCCAGCCCTTTTATTCCTACCCTAAGATGAAAAACACTGCTGCCCGTTGATTGGCTGAGTGGGGCTGGAAACAGGCGTTGGCCAATCAGCAGCTACCCGCCCGCCCCCCGGCAAGCAGAAGCCGGTTCCGGCCGGACTTGGAGACAAACAAGAGGAATGGGGGGGCTGGGGGCGGCTTGGGCAGGCCCTGCTCTACCCAGTGAAACTGGAGTGCCCGTCGACCCGGAGCTCCCGCGGGCATCGCCCCATGCCCTGCTCGGAGCCCTCTACCCGGCCAAATCCCTGGGTCTGCGTTTCAGGGAGTCTTGGTCCACCCTGAGCTGGGCTCCAGCACCGTGTCGCTCCGCCCGCAGAGTATTCCCCCGTCCCCACCGGAGATAAAGAACCACGGCCGGATGCTCCAACTCCGCGAGCCATTGTTGCCCTTTCGTGCTACGCTGCCCGGGTTGCTCCTCGGGCTTTGTGTCGGGCTCCTTGCTGTCTTGCCCCAGTTGTCTATCCAAGCGCTGTCTGCGAGTGTCGAGATCCCCCGACCCAGGCAGGTCCCGTGTACCGCATCCCTGCTAGATCTCCTGATTCACCGGCTCCGTGCCCTCGAGTGCCTCCTGCCTGGTTCAAAATCAGTGTCTCTTTTTTGTTGTTGTTTTGTTTTGTTTTTCGAGACAGGGTTTCTCTGTATTGTTTGGAGGCTATCCTGGAACTCACTCTGTAGACCAGGCTGACATCGAACTCACAGAGATCCGCCTGCCTCTGCCTCCCGAGTGCTGGGATTAAAGGCATGTGCCACCAACTCCCGGCTCTTAAGGATCTGTAGTCAGGTTTTAGGACCGAGATGTCCCTGGTCATCCATCCAGAAGCCAAGGTCCCCATCCGGTGCATGTTTTTTCTGGGTGCCCTCGGAGACCAGTGTTCAGACCGGTCACCTTGGTGCGCCCTTTCCTCCTTCCCCTTTCCCAAACGTCTCTTTCAATGTGGTTGACACACTCAGTCTTCCACCCTTCGTGCTGTGGGCAACTCCGAGCAGCTAAGTCTGGCTTTAGAGAGCGCTTCGGGTCATTAGGGGTCTCGAGGGCTCGCTCCATCCTTTCAGTGTCGTCACCAGAGCTGCCCTGCCCTGAGGACCTGCTGGTACGAGAGATAGAGCTTCGTCTCGAGAGGTTTAACTCCGCAGTGTCTCCTTGACCAGAGGCACTACCTCGGAAAACACTCGGTGTCCCTCAGATTATCCATACTTAAAGTGCTGGCTCGCCTTAGGGCTGTGAAAGTCCCACCAAACCTGGCTCTGCTTTCCCTCAGCCCAAGTGCGCCCCCTGGTGCCCTGAGCCTTCGCTAGCCGTCCTGCCAGCGCAAACCCTCCCAGACTTGGTCTACACTTGAGGGTGGATTTGGGGGCCTGATGACCCACTGTGCAGAATCTCACAAGCCCCAAGTTGGACCTGCCACCTGCAAATATGCTCAGCCCTTCCATCCTTTCCCTGAGCCTTCTGCTTGAGAACTTTCTTCAGATATATCTCTAAAATGTTTCTCCCTTAAAATTGTGTCCCCTTCTCCCTTGGGTAATAGTACCATCTGCTTTTGTTGTTTCTGGCGGGGACGTTGTTGAGACAGGGTATCACTATGTAGACCATGCTAGCCCCTGCCTCCCGAGTGCTGGATTCCTAGGCATGTGCCACCATACTGGGCTAATAACATCTAATGGAGTTAGATGATGTGAACTTACCTTTTCAACAGAAAAGTTAAATAGATTATCTACCGTGAGGCTCCGCTTCCCACCCCTCCCCCACCGCACCAGCATAGCCTGGCGTCCCGTTTATCTAATCTGCCCATTTCTGTTCCTGGGACACCGCTATTCATTCAGCAATCTCTGCATCTCATATCCACCCCGCAGTGAATTGTGGGAAATGTAAACCTGACTTTGATAAACCTGACCTCTTGCTAGATTCTGCAGAAACTCTCTACCATTCGTTCTGCTAGATAAAGTTCAAGTTCCCCAACTGAGCCGCCCATGCTGCTTCCTACAGAGCAGCCTTTCTCCTCCTCCTGGTCCTGAGTGCTCCAAGCCCGTGGAATCTCTGGGGTTCTCAATTTGCTCTCTCTCAATAGGGCCCTTTCTTGGGCAGCGCCTCCTCTGGAAAGCCTTCGCTAGCCACTCTCTATAATGCCCGTAGCTCTCTTTGTCTGCTGATTGTAATTCTTTATGACACATATCCCCGTTTTCCACTCACCGGAAACTCTTTGGGGACAGACATGTCTTAGTCTTTGGTACTACTAGCTCTTCCTATTAAAGTAAACTCAAGCCGGTGCATAATACGAGTTTGTAGGATGAAAACTTGAGTGAGGGAAAAGTACCAGATTCTAGGGCACGAGATCATGCCGCACTGGGAGGGTTATGGTGGTGTCAATGGTAATTAACTTTTATTGATAGCTAAACTTTTACACTCTGTGTCTCTTTATCCCTACCGTCACCCTAGACATAGCTGTTGTCCTTATATTCCAGATGAAATCCTCAGGATTTAGGTGGCGTTGTCAAAGCAACGAAACAAGAAGTCACTGTGAAGATGACCCAGATCCATCTGAATGAAACTTTTTATTTTTAATTGGGAATGCCTAGGCTAGACTAGCAGGACTTTTGGCAAATCTAAAGTAATAAGCCAGGAGTTGCAGCCCACAACTGTAATCTCAGCACTAGGGAGGTAGAGGCAGGCAGAACTCTTTAAATCAAGGTCAGCCTGGTCTACAAGGGTCCTGGCCAGTGCCAGCCAGGGCTATACAGTGAGACCCTGGTTTGATTATTTTTGTCAGTTTTTTGTTTTTTCTGAGTCAGGGTTTCTCCGTGTAGCCCTGGCTGTCCTGGAATTTACTATGCAGACCAGGCTGACCTCTAACTCAGAGCTATCTGCTTGCCTCTGCCTACCAAGTGCTAGGATTAAAGGTGTGCACCACTACTGCTGAGACTGTGGGGGTTTTTTTTGTCTGAGACAGGGTTTCTCTGTGTAGTCCTGGCTGTCCTGAAACTTAGACCAGGCTGGCCTTGAACTCAGAGCTCCACCTGCCTCTGCCCCCTGAGTGCTGGAATTAAAAGCTACCACTGCCAGCTGTAGACCCTGTCTTTTTGTTTTTGTTGTTGTTTTGTTTTTTATTTTATTATTTTTATTTATTTATTTTTTGGGGGGGGTTTCGAGACAGGGTTTCTCTGTGGCTTTGGAGGCTGTCTTGGAACTCGCTTGGTAGTCCAGGCTGGTCTCGAACTCACAGAGATCCGCCTGCCTCTGCCTCCCGAGTGCTGGGATTAAAGGCGTGCGCCACCAACGCCCAGCCTATTATTTTATTTTTTATAATATTTTATTTATTTATTGTGTATACAGCCTTCTGCCTGCACGACAGCAGAGGGCACCAGATCTCACTCAAGGTGGTTGTGAGCCACCATGTGGTTGCCAGGAATTGAACTCAGGACTTCTGTAAGAACAGTCAGTGCTCTTAACCGCTGAGCCATCTCTCCAGCCCTTGTTTTGCTTTTTAAAGAAATACCATAAACCGGGTCTGGTGGCTCACACCTATAATCCAAACACTCAGGAGAATGAAACAGGTGGGATGGCCATGTATTCCAAGGCTGCCTAGGATATAGTTCCAGGTCAACCTAAGCAATAGAATGAGATTGTCTCAAAAACAAAAAAGAATTTAATAAATATGTAGAAAAATTCAACACTTTTAAGTCTTAAGGTCTAGTAAGATCCTTAGAATGAACATAGAAATGCAAATAGTAACAAGATAGCTTTTTTAAGTGTATTGTCTAATGTGCACCGCATGCATGCATTACCCTTGGAGGCCAGAAGAGGGCATCAGGTCACCTGGAACTGGAATGAAGTGGTTGAGTTGCCAACGAGGTAATGGGAACCAAACTTAGTCCTCCTCTAAAACAGCAAATTATTTTAACCCCTGAGTATTTTAAGATACTTTTCTCAAAGATTTATGTATTTTTTTTCTGGTGTTTTGGCTGCATGTATGTCTGCACACCAGAAAAGGGCATGGGATCCCATAAAACTACACTTAGGAGATTGTGAGCTGCCATGTGGGTGGGTGTTAGGACCTAAAAGATACTTTTCTATGTAGGGGTAGGTGGTACTGGGTATCAACCCCAGGGCCTTACATATGCTGGGCAAGCTCTATCATTGTGTTATAGCCACAGTACCAGTGATAGCATTGGGTTTTGGTTTAGTTTGGGGTTTTGTTTTGTTTTGTTGTTTGACTGTTTTGTTTGTTTCTGAGACAGAGTTTCTCTGTATAACAGCTCTGGCTGTCCTGGAGCTCATTGTGTAGACCAGGCTGGCCTTGAACTCAGAGTCCAAGTCCACCTGCCTTTGCCTCCTGAGTGCTGGGATTGAAGACATGTGCCACCACTGCCCTGCTGATGGTTTTGGTTTTTGTTTTTCTATACTTTTTTGTTTGCATACATGAGTGCACATACACATACATGTTCATGTGTGTGCACCTGCATATGAAGGAGGCCAGAGTTTGATATAGGGTGTCTTTCCTTAATGGCACTACACCTTGTTTGTTGACCCACTGTGTAGACCAGGGTCTCTAATTGAACCTGGAGTTCCTAAAGCAGGCTAAGCTG